ATAAATGCAATATCCTCGAAAAGAAACTCAACAACCACTATAAAAAATTAAGAGCAAAACAATATGTATAATTCTGACACCCTCATTCAAATATTTCCAGAAGTATATTGCCTCAATGCTGATGTTCGTGAGTTTAACAGCAAAATCATCGATAGTGATGTGAAAAACCTAATAACTTGGTTCCATTTAGGGCTCCAAGCAGGAGTCTGTTGGGATCCAATTAGGATCTTCAAGGGGACAAAGAAATACCTTGTACGGCAGATGGACCAACTAATTGATCTTCTCCTCAGTCGACCAGCGGAGGCGAGCCGGCGGAGTCTGGCCCTGCGAGTTTGCTTGTCCGGTCGGTTTTATTCTTGAGTTCTCTTATTTAACAAAATGGAACGAGGGCGGGGTGACGCTGTAATTTAACAGGAGTTTCGTGGTGAAAAGTGAAAACTACATTAGTTCCTGCGGGTCGTATTATTTTAGGCTTGTTTTAAAACCCCTAACCTTTTATTAAATTGCTAAAAGAACAAAAACTCAACTTTTTTAAGGTTGTCATTAAATATCTGATGTGTCCTCTTTCAGTCTAGATCGAACCGGTTGAAATGAGCTCTGATACACTTAAACCGCAATGTATGTACCTACAATAACTCAACGTTGGAAGAGTTTTCAGCGAAAAACCTTCAATGCCTAAATCAATATCAAGAAGATGATGATGCTCTATAAATAAGGACGAATATAATATATGGAGAATGTAAAGTCAATATTTGGTGATCGGTTTTGCTATGAAGCCAACAGTTGGCTCCATAGTGAAGCCAACTTCTATATACAATAAATAAACCTACTATATTAATAAAATTATATTAATGTTATTTAAGTAATCAGAGAATATGGTAGGTTTATTTGTTGTATATAGAAGGTTAGTTCCACTATGGAACCAACTGTTGGCTTCATAGCAAAACCGATTTGGTGATACCTTAGTCCTTTTTATAAGAAAATATCTGCCCGAAATGTTTTGCCCGGCTGCTGGATGATTTTATTTAGATGTTTTTAATTTTTGGATCTGAGTGTTATTAGCTGGAAATCTATTAGGGTTTTTTTGAAATTTGCGCCTGAGAGTTTTAGAAGTCAGGGCTTGAATGAATGGCGATGAATCAGACCGCGCGTCGTGACGCGACAAAAATTAATATTTATATTTTCCTTACAACTTCTACCAACTAGCAGTAGTAGTGAGCAAGGGTCGAACCCACAGGGAGTGTGGAATTTAATTGTAATTATTCTCTTTAATTGAAATCATAAAAATACTAATAAAAAGGGGATTTTGATGCGAAATAACTAACTCAAATGCAACAAATAAAGATGGTAATCAAATAAATGGGGAAGCTTCTAGTCCAAAGTTCTGTCTACACCCTTGATTGACTCGTCTAATCAATTTAAGTATCAGATTTCGCTATCTCATGGAATTACTAGCCCTAGGCAACGACACGGTCTGTTACCCAAATTTTTCCTTATTTTTAATTTAACCGCGAGATGCTCTACGATTAAACCTGACTTCTTGTACAGTCCTGAAAAACGTTTTCAAGATTTAATACAATCAGCCGCTTTACGAATTAGAAAATTAGGCTAGACTAAGTAGTGAACTCAACCGCATTCATTCACTTAGATAGGCCGTGTTATCCCCGGTAGTTACCGTCTTCCGGTTACCTCTTATGAATTAAACACAACAACAATTACGGATTGAAGGTCTAATTCAGATGTAGATATGAAAAGCCTAATCTAGGTGATCAATCTAAATTAGACTAAACACATCATGGTTAATTATTCAAAATAACACAAGCAATTCCAAAAAAATATTGAATTCATCAACCATATAAATCAATCAAACATTGTCAATCATAGGGTTTGACTTCTCCGGAACTAGAATAGAAGAACTACTCACTCATAGTGTGCAATAACATAATCATGAATTTAATTACACGAGAAAGAAATAAAGAAAAGAAATATGAAATTCTTCTCTAATTTCCAAAGCTTCCGTCCTGTTGCTGTGTGTTGCGATCCTTTTCTCCTATGTTGCTTTCAATTCCCGCAGCCGCACTGTCCAGGTCAAAGAAATCCTTTCCAAGTCAAAACAAATTGACATATATCCTTTCCTCCCTCAATATCTCACGTCTTTCTCCTTTTTTAATTCCTAGTCAAAATAGTCTTCCCAACTTAGGCCCACTTGTAATAAGTTTCTGGCCCATAATAAATGATTTTCATGGGCTGATCGTGCATGGGTCTAGCCAGTATGGGGCACAGCAGTGTCAGTACGGGGTCCGAGCATCCACACCTCATCGTGCAACAAAAATAGCTCCAAAAGTACTGAAAATCACTCAAAAACTCATCAAAGCACGAGAGTTGACATAATATCAAATAAGTCGAAAGATGCATAAATGCGGGGAATTACACGTGCACAATTGTAACATTAGATGATTAAATGCAAGCACTTTTCTCGACTAATCAAACATCCTCCATTTGCGGTGGAGGATGGCTCGTACGAGGATTATTTTGATAAGTTGGTCAATGATGATGATGAAGATGTGGGATGCAAAGTCGCCACCACGTCTGCTGCATCCGGAGGCCCTGTTGTGATGGATGGGAATGAATCCGATGAGGCGAAGGCCTTTGCCAATTTGAGTATCAACGAGTTTGATGATAATGATGAGGTCAATTTTGACAATGATAGTGACCATATTGCTGAAGAGGATATACATGCGAAAACTGAAATTGTTGTCGAACATATCAATGAAGTTGGAGTCGTGGAGGAGAAAGGAAATCCACTGGCCTCATCCAGTTCGTTCGAGTTTGATAATCTAGTACAAAATCTGGGTAATGCAAATGATGGCACTGAAGTGTTGCCAGATTCGACATTGGCGAGTAATAATAAGACAACTGCAGAGAAGGGTTCATCTGATGTGGTGATAATGAGCAATAGTAGTGACGAATTAGGAGCTCCTGGAGTTAAGGAGGTGGACTGGAGCGCGTTTGCTGATTCCGCTAAGAATGACGATGGGAAGGCTTCGGGTCGTACTCCGACTTTTTCAGTGAATTTGAAGGAGATAATACTGGTGACGCATTTGGTAAAGTGGTGGAGGATACTTCCAAGAGTGGGTCACAGGACTCTCTACATGGTTCCTCGTTTGTTGGAGTTTCAAACAGCTATGGACAGTACAATGATGGATGTAGCACCCCGTTCGATTATTAGAATTTTCTGAGTATTATATTATTATATATTTGCATTTTATTTGATTTATTCCTTTGTTTTATATTACCTGCTCGATTATTGTTATTAACTGCTTGTCTTTGACTGTATAATTTATCTGTTGAATGTTAATTTCTATATGCTTAATTGTCCTTATTTATTTTGTGATTATTTTATTTATTTATGTGTTAGAAATATTAGATTTATTTGATTGGAATTTAAATTATTCGGCGATTTTTGGTTTAATCGCGTAAACCGATTTTTAATCCGTTTCAATTCGTTTATGCGTCGTTCGACCCGATCCTCGAATATTCTTATTTGGCCTAATCCATTGTCCATCTCGGTCAATTTTCAGCTCAAAAAACCTATCGAACCCTACGACTTGATGATGTTTAATTGATTTTCGTTGTTGATAATTTAATTATCCTTTTGAAATTGTTTTGTGTTATGTTGATTGAGCAACCATGATACAACAACAACAACATAGCCTTTTAGTCCCCAAGCAAGTTGGGGTAGGATAGAGATGAAACCCAAGAGAACTAATGGTAAGAGAAACACAAAAAGGGCTCAAAACAAAAGGAAGAGATTGGAGCAAAAGAGAAATGAGCAAAAATCACGATTCTAGCACGTTGATTGCTAGCCTCCAAGAGCTCCTATCCACCGTTAAATCCTTGGAGATATTCCAATATTTAAGGTCTCTCTTAACCAACTCTTCCCAAGTGAGTTTAGGCCGATCTCTACCTCTCTTTACATCATCGACTCGCTGTAGAACTCCCCTACGCACCGGTGCATCAAGAGGCCTCCATTGGACATGTCCGAACCACCTCAGCCGATGTTGAACCAATTTCTCCTCAATTAGAGCCATCCCGACCCTATCTCGAATATCCTCATTCTAGATTCTATCCCTTCTTGTGTGCCCGCAGAACCAACACAACATACGTATCCCTGCTACACTTAGTTGTTGGACATGTTGCCTTTTTGTAGGCCAACATTCAGCACCGTATAGCATCGCAGGGCGAATCACCGTCCTATAGATTGACCACCTAGATGTGTTATGTTGATTGAGCAACCATGATATATTCGATTTTATTTAGATTGACCACCTAGATAAGATTTTCATGTCTAATGTTAGAACTGAACTTGCAATCCGCAATTGTTGTTGAGTTTAATTCGTAAGTAGCAACTGGAAGATGGTAACTATCGGGGATAACACGACCTACTTCAGTGAACCACGCGGTTGGATTCATTACTTAGATTAGCCTATTTTTCTAGATCCTAAAACGGCTAATTGTTTTAAATCTAGAGAGCGTGTCCTACATTGTACAACAAGTCAGGTTTAATCGTAGAGCGTCTCGTGGTTAAATTAAAAGTAAGAAAAAATTCAGGTAGCAGGGCGTGTTGCTATATAGGGCTAGTAATTTCATAAGACAGTTAAACTTGACGTCACAATTGTTTAGACTAGTCGAGCGAGGGTGTAGGCGGAACCTTGAACTAGAAAATTCTCTTATTTATTTATTTATTTATTTTTTATTTGGTTTGTTTAGATTTTATTTATTTCATTAGAATTTTAGTTAGTTTACACATTAATTCTTATAGATCACTATTTATTTCATTAGACTAGTTAGTTTACATATTTCACCTATAGATCACTATTTATTTGCACATTTTATGAACGGTGGATTTGTAATTTATTTTACTCATTGGTTTCTAAATTGAATTGTCTTTTGGTTGATTACTTTCTTATAAATGGTTTATGTATGATTTTATTTTGAATTGTCTCTTGGTTGATTATTATTGTAGGATGTTTAATCCTAAACATTGTAATCTCCTTTTTCTAGCTATTTGGGTCTCTTAGTTTTGTTGGGCCTTTATAAAATTTATTTTTGGACCTCTAATTGGGGCCAGACCATCATACAAAACGACCAAAAAGAAAAAACAAAACAAAAACAAAAAAAAAAAAAAACAAAGATATTGATATTTCCTCCAGATTTCGCTTGCCTTCTTCTTGGCTTGTGAGGTTGCAATTTTGGGTGACGTGGATACTTCTAAGTGCCAGAAAATATTGTTCATCACAATTCACATTAATAATCCCAAATTTTCCCGAATCGCACTCGTTAAGGTCTAAACATAAAATTACAATTTGTAATTGCTCCCTCGAAAATCTGCTTAGTTATGTCCATTAAAACTGCAGGACAAATGAAACCTTTCATGGATTAATAAAAAAACACATATATTCTTTTTCTTACAAAGTTTCAATGAAGTTGTTGTAAATAAACACAATTAAATTAAATAACAGCAACCGTGATGAGTGAAAGATAAATAAATCATAAGATCACTATTTATTAGAGGCTAGAGCTGAAAATGAGCCTAATTATTATTGAACTATTAGATGCTAGAGCTGAAAATGAGCTCAATTGTTACTGAACTTTTCATACTCTGAGTTCTTGATACTGAAGCTCTAACTCGAGCTCACATTGAGCCTATCTCGCCTTTATTGAATAGAACTAGTAAATATGTGGAGTTTGACTCGATGTTCGAACTCGAGATAATATATGATAAAAGTTCCTAAAATGATGTTATTCAATTTTATCAAATCTAACGAAACTTAAACAAATTCAAACTTAAACCTTAACGGGTCAAACCGAGCCACATAAACCCTTTTTTTTTATTATAGAAAAGATTGATGAAACAAATTATCATCACAAAAAAAAAAAAAGCTTGCAATTTATTTTCGTCCACAAATTTTTTTATTTTTCCCTCATAAGAAAAAACCCAATCTTTAATTCCTTGCTCTCGTTATCCCTTCACGCGACTTTCCACTGTTTCAATTCCTTCACCAGCCCAAGAGCAGTAAACACATACTAGAGTGTGTGTGTGTGGAGATAGGAAAATGGCGGCTGTATCGACTGAGTCGATGATGAATTTTTCATCCAACGCTGTCAGCAACTTTAATGGCTCTTCAAGAAGACCTTTGGCCGCGGCCTCTCACTCCCCTCGACGCCGTAAGTGGAGTTATTCTTCCCAGAGGGTTCGAGCCCTTTCTTCCTCTTTTCTCGGGAGCCTGAGGTTCGGTTCTACTGCTGCGAGGCTCTCAGCTTTGCAAACCAAACAGCAAAGAATGAAATTTTCTGTCTTTGCAATGGCTTCCGGTATAATTCGATCTCACCCCTTTTCTCATTTTTTGTATCTGTCGTTCTGTTCTTGTTGGCAAATTTGTATTTTTTATTGTCCGGGCAATTGAGTGGCTTTCTGCGTGTCGAGGTTAATCTTGTTGTTTGATTGTTTAATAGATGATTTTTTATTAAAATTGAAATGCTTTAGGAGGTGGAGTTGATTGTAGTTTGCATTTTGCTTGTGTCTAGCTCATGATGGAGTAATGGTTGTCTCTGTTTTGGTAATCCATATGATTATTTCTATGAAAATCATCAAAGACAGCAGACTGAACAAGTCAATTGAGGCCCAAACTATATTTGCCTTGGCAAAATTATTCCTGGCGACAGTTAATGAAACTATTGCAAGTGGTCGTGATGGATGAATAATGTGAATTTAACTTCTTCGGTTCTGTATTCGCTCATCAGATAATTATCATTACCTGACGATGTTGATGTATTCGCTCTGGCACGTTTTGTGTTTGAAAGTATCTGCCCTAGATGTACTCTTAACATCATCTGCAATTGATCATCTTGATGAATGACACACTGAAAATATGAAAAACTCGTAAACATGCTCTCATACTCATTACAAAATGAAAAACTCACATTCTCCTTTTCCCCAAAACCTCCCACACAGGCGAAAAACGGTCTATCCCACTGCAAGACTACCGCAACATCGGCATCATGGCCCACATAGACGCCGGCAAAACCACAACCACCGAGCGAATCCTTTACTACACGGGCCGAAACTACAAAATCGGCGAAGTCCACGAAGGCACTGCCACAATGGACTGGATGGAGCAAGAGCAAGAGAGAGGGATAACGATAACTTCCGCCGCCACCACCACTTTCTGGAACGACCACCGAATAAACATCATCGACACTCCCGGCCACGTCGACTTCACGCTCGAAGTCGAGCGTGCGCTCCGCGTCCTCGACGGCGCCATCTGCTTGTTCGACAGTGTGGCCGGAGTCGAGCCCCAGTCTGAAACCGTCTGGCGGCAGGCCGACAAATACGGAGTCCCGCGAATATGCTTCGTCAACAAAATGGACAGGCTTGGAGCAAACTTCTACCGAACGAGAGACATGATTGTCACGAACCTCGGCGCGAAGCCACTCGTGCTCCAAATCCCGATTGGCGCAGAAGAGACTTTCAAAGGGGTCGTCGATCTCGTAAGGATGCGCGCGATTATTTGGTCCGGTGAGGAATTGGGCGCGAAATTCTCGTACGAAGAGATTCCTTCGGATCTTTTCCAGCTGGCGAAGGAGTATCGAGCCGAGATGATCGAGAGCGTAGTCGAGCTTGATGATGTGGCGATGGAGAGTTATCTCGAAGGGATCGAGCCGGACGAGACTATGGTGAAGAAGTTGATTAGAAAAGGCACGCTCTCGGCGAGTTTTGTTCCGGTGTTATGCGGATCGGCTTTCAAGAATAAAGGGGTTCAGCCGCTTTTGGATGCCGTCGTGGATTTCTTGCCGTCGCCCATCGATTTACCGGCTATGAAGGGAACTGACCCGGAAGACCCGGAATTGGTGATCGAGAGGGCGGCGAGTGATGACGAGCCTTTTGCAGGTTTGGCTTTCAAGATTATGAGCGATTCTTTCGTGGGGTCTCTTACGTTCGTCCGGGTTTACTCGGGGAAGCTCGATGCCTCGTCTTATGTGCTGAACTCGAATAAAGGGAAGAAGGAGAGGATTGGGAGATTATTGGAGATGCATGCGAACAGTAGGGAGGATATTAAGGTGGCGTTGACGGGTGATATTGTGGCGCTTGCTGGGTTGAAAGATACGATTACGGGAGAGACTTTGTGTGATCCTGATAATCCGATTGTTCTCGAGCGGATGGATTTTCCGGACCCTGTGATTAAGGTTGCAATCGAGCCGAAGACTAAGGCTGATGTCGATAAGATGGCTGTTGGGTTGATTAAGCTAGCTCAAGAAGATCCATCTTTCCACTTTTCGAGAGATGACGAGACGAATCAAACGGTTATTGAAGGAATGGGAGAGTTGCACCTCGAGATTATTGTTGATAGACTCAAGAGGGAATATAAGGTCTGTTTCTTCTCTAAATCTTGTTCAACATTTCTAGTTATTGTAGATAAAACTTTCACATTATTATTTGACACACTTAAAAATTATTAATATTTGCATATAAATATAATTTTGGCTACTATGGCTTAAAAAAAGGTGGAGGCGAATGTGGGAGCACCCCAAGTGAACTACCGGGAGAGCATTTCCCAGGCCACAGAAGTCAAATACATCCACAAGAAACAGTCGGGTGGCGCTGGTCAATTCGCTGAGGTCGTCATCAGGTTCGAGCCTCTCGAGGGCGGAACCGGTTACGAGTTCAAAAGCCAGATTAAAGGAGGAGTTGTACCCAAAGAGTACATTCCAGGTGTCATGAAAGGATTGGAAGAGTGCATGTCCAACGGTGTGCTGGCGGGTTTCCCTGTTGTCGGAGTTCGTGCTGTCTTGGTCGATGGGTCTTATCACGATGTGGACTCGAGTGTGCTGGCCTTCCAGCTGGCGGCCAGAGGTGCATTCAGGGAAGGGATGAGAAAAGCGGGCCCACAGATGCTCGAACCCGTTATGAAAGTCGAGGTTGTCACGCCGGAAGAGCATTTGGGGGACGTTATTGGCGATCTAAACTCGAGAAGAGGTCAGATCAATAATTTTGGAGAGAAACCTGGTGGATTGAAGGTAAATACATGATTTTTTTTGCCCTTCTTTTTTTCTTTATGTTACAATCGATACATTCTAATGGCTCGTGACCTTTTTTGTCGCGATCTTGGTATTTTTTTTAGGTGGTTGATGCATTGGTGCCTCTAGCAGAGATGTTTCAGTATGTGAGCACACTTAGAGGAACGACAAAAGGGCGAGCTTCGTATACCATGCAGTTGGAGAAATTCGATGTCGTTCCTCAACATATTCAGAACCAGCTGGCGGCAAAAGGGGAGCCCGTTGCTGCTGCTTGACGATCTATAACGACGAGCAGTAAAAAAAACTACTGTATCATTTAAACTATTGATTTTTTTTTTTTCTTTTTTTTTTTGGGTGTAAAGATACAATAAGCAAACTGGAAAAAAGATGGATGTTATGGAAAGCAAGAAAATGGCTTTGGTTGTCTGTTAGGTTTGTGAACTTTACCAAATCAGTTTTGATATGGAACTTGTGTATCATTTAAATTACTGTTGTTTATTGTCAAACTATGTATCAATCTTATTTTTGTAGGAGAGTTGCATTTGCATGGCTAATGTAACGATCATTGTATGTATTTATAATTAAGTCATAATGTGATAACAATTAAATTATTTCAATGTTTATAAATATAAAAATTATATGCTGATACCCCAAAATTAAAAGAACATAAAAAAAGTATGCCACAACTACCATACACATCAATGCTCTTTAGCTTCTCCATTATACTCGTTCACAGTACCTATAGCATTGTCTTATTTCGAAAATTGAGATACTTCAGTTACAAACAATAGAGTTACAAACAACAGAGTTACAAACAACAATTCAACAGTCAAGATTATGAACCAGCTAACACAATGTCATCTACAGACCTAAATGACAGATCACACAGAACTCATCGGATCACAAATGCTTACACACCGAATCACACACTCACGGCCAACCGGCTGGCCTCAAATATACCGAGAGTTGCATAATTGCATCGTGCAGAAAAGGAGATTTTTTTTTCTTCAGTGCTACGATGTTCTCATTCTCATTTATGCATTTGCATTCAAGTTTCAAGGGTTCAGGCATGTAAAAGCAAGACGCAAGTAAAATTTTGAAGAACGGAAAAACAAACACTCTCATT